TCAACCCTGATGCAACATAGACCTAACACCTTGACCTGCCTTGGGTAACCTGCAGGAGAACCACAGCAGCCAATGTCCTGCTTCTGTAAACTTGTTAATATACGCTCAAGAGGTCCTGGGTAGAGGACCACGCCCCTTGCTACAGAGGAAGGCAAAAAACCCCCACAGTCCGTACAATCTGAAGAAAATGTTTAAATATATCCCAGCTAAAAAATGGAAAGAAGTTGGAAGTTACCTGCAAATTTTATTTGCTAAAGACACAACACCAATACAGAACAAGGGGGGGGGGAGAGGGAGAAAGGACAGTAGGCACAGAAATTCAATGACATACAGGCACTCCGTGGGCCATCAGCGTATTTGGGTTCATAATGGTGACAAGTTGGTGCAAAAGATCTGGTTGAGACTCAAATAGCTCAGGAGCCAACTTCTTCATTACATCTTCCAGTTGTTCAGCTGCATATCCTGGGGCTCCATACCAAGTCTTAGGCTCCCCCCTGCAAAAGGGTTTAAAGAAAGAAAGAGAAAACACAACTTTGTTAAAATGTCTAGAGACTTTTGCTTTACAATGCATCACAAGAAAAAGAAAACTGAAGAAACACCATGAAACAGGGCTAAAATTATGAACTGCCTTAGCATTTCACATTTTAAATTACAGGCTCCCTTTTTGATTCAGCTCAAACTGACTAGATTTTTTAGTACATAACTTAAGGAATTCTGTAAAGTGCCTCAAAAATGCACTGTGGAGTTCCATTTTTATCGTTACTTGATACTGGGAAAATTACACTTATTTTAGTAGTTGGTGCTTTCTTTTACTGAGGACTCAGTAAACTCTATCTGAAGGCCAGCAAGTATGGCAAACATTATGGTAATACTGGAGACAGAAATAATCTAACAAATGGAGAAAATGAGAGCCCACGAGCAACTTAACTTAGAATCGCAGAAACTGATAAAAGCAGCTAAAGTCGTCGAGGAAAATCCATGACTAGAAGGGGTAAAGGGTACTGGCAATAAGGAGTTCAAGTATTAACGTAACAAAACTCTAGAAATCACATAAGCCCATTGCTAGACAGTTGGTAAAATTGTTAACAATGGAGGAAAGGCAGAAGTGTTCAACGGTTCTGTATTTGGAATGAAGCAGGAAGATTAAGTTACTTCCAATCCTTAAGTAACCAAGGAGGACATTAAAAACTCTAGTTAACGAAAATATTTAAGTAAAGAGGCCCAGATAACTTGCATTCAAAAGCCCTAAAGAATATGTCAAGATCTCTGGTCTGTTGATATTCAGATTTAATACATCCTGAAATAACAAACAGAGAAGTCTGGGACAGGCAAAGAGGATGACCCAAGTATTTATAGAGCAGTTACTTTGATATTAAACCCAGGGAGAACAAAAGAAGAGCTGATACTAGGAATCAGCAAATTAAGGGACAGGAGTGTAACTACTGCCAGTCAGCATTGTTTAAATAAAATACTAATCTCAAACCTGATTTCACCCAGATTACAAGTTTGGCTGATTATAGCAATTTTTATACATGTAATGTAAATTCTGGCATGTCATCTGACTTTGTACTACTTGACTTTGTGATTAAAAGTTATCACTTTCAGTAATAAATAAACGCAGGATAGACTAACTAAGCCCTCTTCCAAATGACAGGTCTCAAAAATATCTGTCAATGGACAATCCTCTAATTTGACACTTGGCCTCACACTACTCAGTCATCTAGCAATACATTAAAAAAAAAAATCACTGCTGATAAAAATCTGCCATTATTTACCACTCTGGTGGTATTTGAAGACAGGACTAGATTGCTTGATAAACTGGGGCATAGAAAAAAAATGTAAATACAAAATTATGCATTTCTGAGCAGAGACTGCAGATCATACCTATAAAAGGGGGGGGGGATGACTAACCAACTCTGAAAAGCGTTTAGAAATCACAGAATACAAACTTAATACAAGCTCTCTATGCAAAGCTGTGAGGGAAAAAAAAAGAGAATGTAATCCTTGGATGTATAAATAGTAGTAAAGGGTCAACGATCTCAATTTTGATAAAGTTATCAAAAAGGCAACGAGACTACTTGGCTGTAGTTTATGAGTACATTAACTGGGAGAAAATACTGGTACTGAACAGATCTTTAGTCTAATGAAGAAAGGCCCAACAAAAACTAATGCAAGAAGGTTAGGCAAAACAGACAAATACTTAAGTTACAGAAGTTTTAACAATAAGGGAAAATTAATCATTCAAACAGCTACTAAAGGAAGGGGTAGTTTCCCCATTTATTGATGTTTTCAGACCTGCTTCAAACAAATTCTTGGGCTCAGGACTGGATGAAATGTTAATGGCCTGTGACATACCAGGGTCCTGCCAAGAAAACACCTGTTTTTTCTAGTTTTCAGTTGTATGAATAAATAAAATTTTTGCAGCAGAAATTTAGTTAACTGCAGTGATAAGCAGAAACAGAATTCAGCTTGCTGACTCAAATGTAAAAGCACAAAAGGGAGACAACCTAACAAAAGCAGGTAGAAACACCCTCAGATAAAGGCTGAAGTTGATTCATCAATGAATAATTGCTCCATTGTGAAATGGTTGCCTGCCATTTTCTATTGTTCTCAATGGGACAAAGGACATAGGATAGGACAGAGGGGCAAATACTGAAAGGTGACATTTACAGAATGATACAGATCATATAAAAAACCTGGGATCAATTAATTATGTTTGTAATTACATTAAATTTGTCTATTATTTCAGCTGCAAGTCACTTAGAGAGGGGAGGGGACTGTATCCTGGGAAAAAAAAGCGATTCTGAAAGGGCTTCATGCTGACACAACTAAACAAAAATAAGCTCTCAGTGGGATACTATGGATAAGGCGGCTAATATAATTATTGGATATATTAACAAGGGAATAATTCAGTAGGAGGTGGGATGTGGCATTAACTCAGAATAAAGTACTGGTGAAATCATTACTGTAATTCCATGTCCAGTTCTGTTGTCCATGTTTAAAAAGAACATAGAAACGCTAGAAAACAGTCAGCAAAACTTCAGCAATTATTGAAGTTCTGAAAAAACAGCCTCATCACAACAGACTTAAGAAATTCAATCTGAGAGAAGATTCATGTTTGATAGCTAAAGAACTTTTACTCAAAGGCATGCATCAGGTCCCAGAGCTCTAAGCTGAAGCAAAACAAAATTAAAATCAGAACATTATTCCTGAAAGAGATGTTAAAGCTCAAAAGCAAAATATTGGGCTTAAAGGATGGAAACCTGGGATTAAATTCTATGGTCTATAATGACATGAGATCAGGCTAAATAACTATAGGGGTTCCTCCAGTCTTAAGATCTACACATTTACAACCTGGCTTTCAGTCTTTAAAAAAGAGTAAGGACTTTGGGAATTGAGTTTCTTTCCCAAACTCACCAGTGCAGGTAGTTGATGGAATAGCTCCAGTGGTCTTCAATATGCCAGCAAAATGAAGAAAAGCACATTCCTACATATAGCCAAGGTAATTTCATTCCACATATATCTGCAGTGATGTGAGCAAGGACAGACTGCTCCATCACAGGCATATTGTTCAAATTCCAGCCACTATCAAGATACTCCTAAAAAAATTAAAACAGAAAAGAAAAAAATTATAGAAACTAAGCAAGACCAAGTGTAAACCAAAGGCAAAACCTTTAAGAGTACAATTTCTGATAGAAAAAAAAATAGTCTTTTTCAATTGATAAAACATATGAATACATCAAGGAACTAATAGTTTTAAATGGGTTGGCAATATATGGTTAATTGGCCAGAACTGGCCTGCAGAGCTGTGCCGTGCCTTTGATGGCATTTGGTGGTGAGGGGCTCTGCCCATGTCATACTGCATCCAGGGATTTGGCAAAGAGGGAGCTATTCCTCTGCCACAACCAGGCAGCACAAAGAAGTGGTGGAGGCAGCTGGGACCTTCAACCTGGTTCTGCAGCATCTGTATAAACTGGACACTACAACAGGGCTTTTTGACTCTTTTAGGTAAAGCTGAGTCAATCAGCTATTCAAGAGAAGCACCAAAAAAGACCCGCTAAAGCACCTAATCTATACAGAAGTTGGGCAAGCCAGATCCAACTAAGGCGCTGCCTCTTCTGGGCATGCACCAGGCTCAGTGCAAGAGTGCAAGTTTAAAGCATTTTTTTAAACATCTCCAAGTAGCCATTGATACAAAATTAACTTCCAACTGAAACATCATTTAATGTAGAATTGGATTGGTCAAACTCTCAGAGACAAATATGAACTCAAGAGTGTCAATCAAAACATACTTCTTCTTCAGGCCGAACTTTAAATTTCCCATCTCTAACTGGAAAGCCACTGCCAAACTCCTTTGAAGCAATGTCAGCCCCATATTCCACTGTGACATCCTCTTCAATGGTGCTAACAAGCCGCCAAAACTCTTTTTCAACCAGCTCTGTGGGAACCATCTGGATAAAAAAAAAAATAAATTAAAAAGACAATAAGTCCACAACAAAAGCTGCATTTCTCAGGTTTTGCCTGTAGTTCTGTAGAAACTCAACACAATATAACCAAGATATGTAATGGCAGAAAACTCAAGGAGGAAGTTCCTGGGGCTTCAATTATTTCCCCAAAATGATACTGTGGTTTCAACAACTATACTGGAGTTCTACTGATTACATCCAGTGCATATGCTCTCTGCTTTATTACTATAAGCTTGAAAAAGTAGTTGCTTATTAATTCAACTATGCTAAACTAAACTAACATAGCAAAATGCTGATATTTGACTTGTAGGCTCCAATTTACAAAAATATAAATAATGCTGCTCTTTGTGCCTTTAACAAGTGACACTGTAGAGAAAGTTTGAAGGGGAAAGTAGAGGGGTTAGAACAGAAACTGAAATACTATCAGAGGGAAGAAATATGCAAAAAGTTTACATGAACAACAACTTTCCACTTGTTCTTATCTAAACTCAACGTTCCATTCCACCCACGGTGTAATATTTTGTTAAGCACAAAAATCTTATCTGAATTACAGAACAATCAAACGTACATGTACAGGCATGTTAAAATAGTCTGACTTGAATGCATCTGCCATCTCTCCAAATGTGCGGAGTGTGTAGTCTCTTGCTGCTTGTTCAAAACCAAATGCTTCTTGCGGTTTATTACACTCCTGCAATTAAAACACGGTTATTTTCTGCCAATGAGTTAACAATGACAAATATAACTTTGTACCTTTTAGTGCTTCACACAGGTGGGTCAGTATTGCCTCCCTTTTACAAATAAAGGAAGCTTGGACACCACACTGAAATGAATTGCCCCAAGGGCACACAAGCAGCCAATCAAAAGAGAGTCAGAAATACAACTTTGAGTCTTGACTCCTACTTCTGTGATTAATTCACCAAACCATGACATGCATTTCTTTGTACAATGCTATGAATTGTTAGTGGGGGCAGCATAACCCGGTCCCAGCAAACTGTTTCCTCTACTACTGTGAAGCAGAAAACAACACACAAAACTCAATGTTGTAAAACCCAATGACACAAAAGTATAATGGCATTATGTTAAAAGCTACCTAAAAACTAAAATACCCTTTTCTGAAAGGTTTACATTAACTTTGTGCTTATTTTATAAGCATTTAACAATTCAAAATGCACCCAGTTCTTTTATTGTTTCATCCTCTACCATACACTTCACAGGACCATTTTAAAAGGTAATAATAAACTGCAATTCTGAATTTCCAGTAGGAGCAAGGAGAGAATAAATACTTTGCAGCCTGTTTTCTCGATTACCTGAGCCAGACACTGGGGACACCTCCAGTCCCCTTTGGGAACATCATGAAGGGGTGGAATTAAACAAAAGGTGTGGTAACTGTCATCACAGCCGTCACACAACAGAAGACGGTCTTCATCATTACCACTACCACACAAGAGACATACATACAAGTCCACCTGCAACAAGAAATTATCAGAGTGGGAGCTGAAATGCTTTAAAATAGTTTATGGCACAAAAAGCAATTTGTAAATTAAAATCATCTGTAGGTTCTTTTCCACCCATGAGGCAGTCCTCCCTCTTTTTTTTTTTTTTGGAAGCAACAGCTGCCATGTAGCACCACAAGAAGCATCTGAGTTAGAGTTTAATTCAGTTCAATTTATTAAGGCTTCTGGCTAAATGCCATGCTCCCAAAAATGACATAACACACATACAACCATAATATAAATAAGTTCAAACAAAGTAACCGAACTACAAATATACTAAAATAGAGCCCACCAACATAAAACATTATTAATATAAATATAGTAGTAAATCAAGACATGAATCTATAATATTGCTGTACATAGATCCACAATTGAGACAAAAATCAAATCTAATGTTAAAATCTATCACTCATATCAGTAATAAAGGATATTTAACTATAACTGCCTCACCCTTATAAGCAAAATTGCAAGATAGTTTACTAAATTTGGATCTGTTTGCTGAAAAAGCCAGATTAATGTCTCTGTTTGAAAAAATGTATCAATTTCTGCAAGAATGGTAATAAATAGTTTCTCCTTATGCCATTATATAAAAAACATTCTAAAACATAATGGATAGATTCATAGACGTTAGGGGCTGGAAGGGACCTTGTAGATTATGGGGCCCAGTACCCCTGCACTAGGCAGGAAAAGACAACTGGGGTCAAGTCAGCCCAGAGAGGTGACTGTCTGTCCAGTCTCCTTCTGAAGATTTCCAGGGTAGGTGACTGCACCACCACTGGAGGGAATCGATTCCAGTATCTCCCAAAACTCCTGGATAGACTGGGCAGCATCTTTTAGCCCTTGGAATGGAAAAATCTACATCCAGTCAAAACAGCTGTGGGCATCTGTTCGGTCCTGAGTCTAGTCAAAGAGGACCGCCATTTATTATTGAGCTCCAGCTGTAAATACCTCTCTCCCCCCACAATCTAATTTCCAAACAGTATATAAAAGGGCCAATACGAGTAGCCCTAGCCACTGCAAAATCATTCTGCCTGGCAATATCTTGTTTCCTCTGGAAAACCCAAACCTTTTCTATGGGGAAGAAAAAATCTTTCATTATCTTTGAGATAGTATCCCATCCCAGAAAGTGCAAAGTACAGGAAAGAAAAGCTAACCAGGGTGATTAAAGAGGAGAGGGATTATTAATATCTTCTATGTAGCATAGTTTAAGCAGACGAGATGGAAAAAGGGGCAGGATTTTAAACCAAAATCCTGCCATTCTAATAATATTAGTTAAAAAAAGAATCCATTCCTGTCTCTAATCTTAAAAAAGATGCAGGAGTTGAGGGAGGAAGAGCCCTAAGAAACTTGTTCTGAGGTATGTCAACATCATTACTAGCGCCATAACCCCATACGTCAGTGCCAGATAAGATCCGAGAGGTAATTTTGGCTTTATATGCTGATATAGGAGCTTGGACTGATCGTCCTGCTGTGGTTTCATAAAATTTCTTTATAGTCACAGCCAATTGGGCTGCCTTAGTTTTAACTGACTGAATGTTTCCATGATGGAGAAACTGTGAATAACACCCAAATACCTATAGGTTTTGACAACTTCAAGTTTGGCTCCCAGCATATTCCATGGCTATTTCATCAAATGACTTCCCAAATGCATTATTTTGGAGTTATCATAATTTATCTTTAAAGTTATTTTGTCCAGAAAGATGCTCAAAAGTTGTAATTGCTCTCTGTAATCTAAGAGGAGTTCTTGACAGTTTAACAGTGTCATCTGCGTACAATGAAATAGGGATCGGGGTTGCTAACAGTTTTGGGGGATGAAAACGCGCATCCTGCATATTTCCAATAATGTCATTCATATAAAGATTAAATAACAAAGGGGCCAAAATACAAAGAGGGGTTAGACAAGGATATATGTGAAATTTTGTGCAAGTTCACCCTTCAAGCTCCACCTACCTTGGGCCCATGTATCTTTCTAATAATCTATCAACAAATGCAAAAGAGAAAAGGTCAATCCCATAATTTATCAGTTTCTCCCAAAGTTTACTTTTATCTACACTATCAAAAGCTCTTGACAAGTCTACAAATGCAATATACAGTGCTGGCTTATGCATTTGTGTATACTTATGTCTCAAAAATTGTAGAATACATACATTATCAATAGTTGCATATCCGTCCCTAAATCCGGTCTGATGTTAATGTAATACGGTTTTCCCCTTTTACCCATGCTATGTGATGATATAACAAATGGCGCCCAAAAATTTTAGCTGAAACATCTATCAAACTTGTAGGGCAATAAGATTCTGGCGTATCTTTTAAACCTTTCTTGAAAATCAGCACAATAATACTCCCTTTCCAGGAATCTGGGATTTGGCCCAACTCAATTATAGAGTTATACCATTCTTCCAAGATCAGAGTCCACCATTTGATGTTATCAATGTAAACTTCCCCCGGTATTCTATCTGGGCCTGGGGCTAAGAGTTCAAGCAACAATATGAAAATTGGGTTTACTGAAGATTTGGGTGCCAAAACTCACAGCTCTACCAGTCAGAGGTGAATCATCAAGAGATATGAACTATTCTACTTGGAGCAGCTTCAAAAAGGAAGGGGAAGTTGCTCCTCAGGACTGCATGACTGTAAGTATGTGCCTGTAGCAATGCAAGTGTGGCAAAACAGATTCAACTACAATCCTGCTTCATCCAAGGTCTAAGTTGAAGTGATTTAGTTCACTTTTAAAGCTACAGGATCATGCACACATAACTTGTACAATGCGCAGCTGCTGAGCAGTGTCAAGCAGCAGCTCCCCTTCCCCTACTAAAACTGTTTCAAGTGTACATTTGTCCATGCCCAAGAAAAGGACAATCAGGAGACCAGCCCCAAGAAGAACTATTTGGTTTTCTCACTGGTCTTTCATAATTGTAATTTCTAGGCAGTACAGTGAGGAAGCAGAGGTATGAATTTTAGTTGTAACAGTAAAATGGAATTACTTATTTCCTACTTTCTCGCATGAAATCTTAAGGGAAGACTGATATTCCAGTGGGCAGGGGGACACATTGGTTTGCCTGGTATCTTTGTGGTTAGAAGAAAACAAACTCTCTCACTGCATCTGCTACCCTGTGCACCTACTCGCAACCCAGAAACAACTGCAATCAGTGTTAAGCACCAGAAATACAGGGTGTACTCACTGAACTAGTGGGTTTTTTAGAGCGGCTTTTGGGTTTCTCTTGCTCCATGTCTCCAATGTGTTCTCTCTTCTCAGCAAGTTCTCGTTTCACTGTGCTGTGTATTTCCTTTTCTGGTGCAGCAAAAGAAAAATCAGACTATTACAAAACATTGTAAGAGCTCAGTATTTGAAGCATACACTGGCCTGTTACTACGCACATCCAAAGCATTTCCTTTTAGTAATAAATTCACTTTTATAATCATGGATGGACAGGGGAGACTATAACAAATAATTCTGTAGACAAGTATGTAAGTTTCTTCAAAGAGCTTTGCCCTACTATACAGCAACCACTGTACTTAGGCCTGCATGAAAACTGCAAGCCATGCCAGATTTGATAGCTGGTTGAAAGACGGCAAACATGCTCCTATGTACTTTTAGGCAGCACTTGAAACACCTACCTACAAAGAGAAAAGTTATTAATAATAAGAATGAACAAGCATGGGAGTATAAATAGAGGGCCATTATTACAGACAAACTAATTTATTTAGAGTGAATATTTGAAATAGAATAGAGGGCTTGGACACATGACATGGCTACACTGGTGTAATCAGCCTTTACACTGCTGTAGAACAAGGAGAAGATAATAAAAAATGCATTGCTTTTAAGAACTTGATAATCCAGGGTAAAATCTATAGTGAAAAAAGACTTCCATGTTAGTTATACCAGTAAAGGAATCATCGTCCACCTTCATCCCAGGACAGCCGTTTTCTAAAGGCAACCAGATAGTGCCATTCTCTTGTGCCATAGCACTGTAATAGCACATACTGCAAGCAGCTATTCCTAATAGCTGCTCAACTGGCCACTCAAGCTCCCAGTATAATTTATACTAGTATACAAAATTAACATATACTATACCAATGTAAATATATCATGTCCCAGCCCTAAGTGACCCAAATGCCATCACTTTTCTTTGAGATAAATGAACACAATTTCAATTCAAGTGAGGTGGCTAAATTGTTCTAAAGCCTTTACTGGGATCCTTTTCATTGAGGTATGAACCAATACTATAGTTTTCTTAAATGATCTTTATTCTCATTTTCTTGAAGTGTTAACTTTGATGACAAATATTAGCAAAAGCAAAAAATTATTTTGGAGCTTAAAATAAGATTGTATAAAGCAGAAGCATTTCATGCATATTGTGTATCGCTCATTAACGCATTTACCATTTTCACACTTTGAAGGTGTACATCCCATTCTGCGTCTCAAGTTATGAGTTCTGGCTTCTGGAGTCTCAGATTCAGTTTTGATATTAGTAGCCTTAAAAAAAGAAAAATCATATTTAGTCATTTAATCACTTACTCAACACCTAGATATTGATGGTATTGGTAACCTACATGCTATTCACTGAAACCTAAATTACTTGAAACCAAAATGTTGCTTAACCAAGCAGATCATCAGTACAGAGCCACATACCTGCTATCTGGTTAAGTGACCAATGGGGATTATGCAACTTCTGGTTCAAGCAGGTAAAACATTCACATAATATTCCACAAAAAACTACATATAATAAGGGTGCACCGAGAAAGATTTTCTTGGCCGATACCGATAGCCAGATATTAGCCAGCCATATTGGCTAATACCAATTGCTGATTATTAGCCAGCCATATCAGCTGATACCAATCCAATAGCCGATTTACACTGGAGAGCAGCTTCCAGCTGGTAAGTCAACGGGAATGCCGCTGGGCAGCCTGGACAGCAGCGTCTGGCAGGTAGGTTGGGAGTGGGGTGTGGGAGGGCAGATCGAAGCCCTCATTGTGAGGGAAGGAGTGGGCCGGGCTGCATTCCTTGCCCCCCACATGCTGTAGCTGCGCACATAAACGGCATTTAATCAGTGACATTACTGGCTATATCAGCCAAAAAAAGCTGACTGCTGACATTAAACCTGCCCCCCAAACCATTTTCATTGCCCTCTGCTGGATTCTCTCGAAGTTAACCCGTTTTTTTCCTTAGTGGGGGTGGGCCAAAACTGGACACAGTACGCCAGATGTAGCCTCACCAGTAGTGAATAGAGGGGAATAATCACTTCCCTTGACCTGCTGGTAATACTCCCACCAATGCAGCCCAGTATGCCGTTAGCTTTCTTGGCAACAGGGGCACACTGTTAGCTCATATTCAGCTTATTGTCCACTGTAACCCCCAGGTCCTTTTCTGCAAAACTGCTGCCCAGCCAGTCAGCCCCCAGCCTGTGCTGGTGCATGGGACTGTTCTGTCCTAAGTGCAGGACTTTGCACTTGTCCGTTGAGCCTCATGAGATTTCTTTTGGCCCAATTTGTCTCTGTCACTCTGAATCCTAGCCCTAGCCTCCAGCGTACCTACTACTCCCCCCAGCTTGGTGTCATCTGCAAACTTGCTGAGGGTGCACTCTATAATGAAGATATTGAATAAAACCAGCCCCACAACTGACCCCTGGGCTCTACATGGGGAAAAAGTCAGGTATCTAAGAACATGATCTGCAAGGAACAACCAGAAACAGGCTGAACATGTAGGAAATCCCATGAAGAATGATCGGGTCTTAGTCACATCCCTCAAAGCTACTAAGGCCCCCAGCTGTTGGCGAGAGGTAGGCATACACATCACTCAGCATTCTCTGCTGGAAAAAAAGATAGCCCCTGAAGTTAAAAGATTTATCCTAAAACCAAATCCAACTTTTCCATTGTATTTCATGAAAGGAAGATACACCCAATCCCAGTCCTACTATAACCAATAAGCCACTGATCGGAGCATTTATCTGACTGGTGGGAGACCTGTTCCCAATCCACACACTGCCCAACTTGGAGTAAGTCTATGAAACCAGATCTCCCAAATCCTGTGCTAACCACAAAGCTGCTGGGTTTTCTGGAGTGGTGTTCTCAGTCTTTGCTACTGAGGCTGTTCCATTTGATTAAATAATTAAATGTACTTTGGTGCAGAGACTTGAACCTGACTGTCCCAAATCCCAGATAAGTGTCATAAACATGGGCTATCAAATCATTCTCTCTTGATTTGTCTCTCCATCCCCATTATGAATCGATACGAAAACAAGGAGACTCCACTGCCTGTGAACACCCAACTGTTCTGAAGCAGTTCAGAAAATACAACTCACCATTGAGTGGAATTTCATCAATTCCACTACAAGATTCCTTTCATGTCTAGGTTGCAGTTTTCCTGTTTGTAAAAGGGTCAATGCGACCTATAAACACTTCAGAGAAAGATTCGGCACTTGTGTTGTGCTTTGAAATGGTGAAGTGTTACATATCAGCCACAGAAAATCTCTTGCCAAATAGATCTTAGGTGAAAGATTCATGGGGTTTAAGCACATTCAAACAGATGGCAAAAGAAGAACTACAGAATAAAGGTTGTGAACATACTACATCCATTCATTTAGCAATCTGAAAAACACATGCATTACTGTGAACAGAATGCTAAAATTAGGACCCCAAGTTATAGGGCACAAGTCGGTTTGTGGCAGAGCGGCTTTGTTTCAAACCGAGGTACTGCAGACACAAAGGAAAATTCCCTCACCTCGGCTCTCAGGCGTTTTGCACGACGTGCAGGTGGGCAAGTTTCAGATGGCTGAACAGATTGCCTCTGGGGAATATCATGAGGTTTGTATTCCTTGTCCTTTGTATCATTGGTGAGGTCAGGCTTCTGCAAACACTATGAGAGAAGCACAATTTAGGTTATTTCATTTTTCTCTTCATCACTTGCTAAAATTGCTCCTCAAACAAAAGTGTGTAAAGTATTTTTCCTGGATCATGTGAAAAGAAAGTACATGTAAGACTTTGTATTTACTGTGCTGTGGTATCAAAAGCAGTAGTTGTAACTACCAACTAGAATTTAAATCACAATGTTATTTGTTACTGTGTTCAAGAAAGTGGAAGTGGAAAGTGGAAGAACTAAGTATTCTAAATAAAAAGATAATTAATTAATCTTGTAATGTTTATTAGAGCCAGCCAGAAATGCTCTAACAAAATGTTTCTGTTGGAGAAGGCTAGAAAGTTTCAGTTTTCATTAACTGGGAAAGCCCAACAGAAAGTGGGAAGGCTTCTTCTATCAGAAACTTGTTTGGTTTCCTGATGGCTTATACTCTCAGTTCTTCAGCAACCTCTCAGGTAGGCTGATGGGAGAATAGGAGGGCTGCAGTGCCTTCTGAATCTTGATTCCTTCAGCTCTTAACCTCCCAGGTTCCTCCACAGTTTAACAGTAAAGCTGTCAGGGAGCAGAGCTGTCTATGCCTATGCAGGTCACCAGACACGACAAGGGACAGAAAAGGCCTGGCAACCGGGAAGCTCTGGGAGCACTACTTCACAGACTTGCGACTCCTTGATAGCCCAAGTTGTCACAACCAGCAGGATCTTGAATAGCCTGTCAAGTCAGACTACCCCCGAGGAAGGGACTTCTGGGTCCACAATCTGAGAGTAACTTGCCAGACATACCACTGCCGAATTTGGGGCCTCACAGGTTTCCCTTTCACAGAGAATTTCAAAAGTTTGGCACTGAAATCCAAACTGGAACAAAACCAAATTTCAAACTATAAAAAAAAACTCTCCACAAAACCTAATCATCTTTCTCTGCACACCTCTAATGTTTCTATTAGTTCCCTGTGGCATTCATATACAGTGACTTTGCAATGGAGGAAACATGAGTTATTCTCAAAGTAAACAATGCTCTTGTAGGAAATACCAACACCTCGGTTTTCTTGAAGTAGTTTTTGTAGCAGCCAGAAGTTTGGCTGCAGTATAGTGCCTTGCTTTATTCCAGTATTGGTCAGAAAAAATGGAAGTATATTACAACCTTCTGTCTGTTCCCATTAAGATGTGGCTACAATTTGATTTTGCAAATTGTTTTCAAGTATTTAATATTTATCAGCACTTTCAAACATACTATTTTAAATATTTAAAAGTTTTGTAGGTTTTTGTTTGTTTGTTTGCGGAAAACATCACTAAAAAGCAGAGGCGAGCAAGAGAAGAATGAAAGAAAAGTACCATTAACATTCAGTTCTTTCATGCTGTTGAATATACCACCATTTTTATTAATAATTGAAAACTGTGTATATTATTTAGTTGGGTATCCTTTCGTATGGGGGCCACGGGGTCCTGGAGTTATGTGCTTACGTTAGGATCAAGCATTTATTCAACATGCTGGGAGGAAAAAACTTGAAAATGTGATCCTGACCAGTCACTATTTAGTTTGACTCTTATGCTCTTATTAAGTGTATGTCAAGGTTACTCAACATTGGAGGGCCACTCTGATGGAGAGTTATTCAGATTGCGCTTGTACATAAATACATAAAACATTTAAACATCCAAAGTACAAATAACCAGTGAGTGAATGGGTAGGCATTCTGCAACAGGATGGACAAAAGCTTCAGAAATGCAAAGCTACATAATTTAACCTTCTCTTCAGGTTATATTTAGCCAGAATAAGCAGCTTGAAAAATGCTCCAAAACACAGTATAATTATGAACACTGCATGGCAGTACAAGAACAAAAAAAAAAAGAAATAACTCCCAAAAATCTGTTGAAGTCCACTAAATGAAGCCTGAAAGACAAACTTTTAAGGGGATCAGGAGGTAAAGGGAAGAGGCTCTGCATACTTTAGGAAGAGGTAATGGAGGACAGAATAGAGGTTTCTCCCTGATAAGCAGAAGGGCAAGCAGGGTCTTGTAAAGGTAAAGGGAACTGAATGGTCTTCTAACCTTGTAAGAGTCTGTGCCTGAACCCACCCTCCTGAGAGCGTGCTTGGAATTTGGTATTTTCTTGTCACCTTGTCCAATAAGAAAATACCAAACCTGAAAGTTACTGTCCTAATGTTCTTTTAAAAGCAGAGGTAAGACTGACCAGTAGTGCCTCCCATATCCCCCACCCCTAAATGTAAGATACTCTAATGCTTTAAACTTAAAAATAAATGGTAAAGTCTCCCCCACAGCCTAAACTCGCACATTAACTCAGACCCCTTCAAAGAATAGCCCAGTAAGATGAAAGGGCTGTACCCTTTCCAAGAACAGTACAAGCACAGAAGAGCAGGGTGGGGGGAATCATATTTGGGGAATCCCGATTCAATCTTGTGGTTCTACATGTGCCAGCAGGATGCTAGACTTCCCCAGGACAATACTGTAGGGCAGAAGATGGAGAGGATGCCCGGTACTGTATGAATGGTAGTATTCATGAGAGACTGTGGACTGATTGTGCAAAACTACTTTCGAAAAAAGGTGAAACAACTAATATTTCCTCGACCTTTCTGATGGACAGAGTTAAAAAAGGCATGTGGGTGTGAAGTGTGAAACACTACCATAGCCCGCATTTCCTGTGTTGGTTCACTTGACTTTTCAAAAGAGAAAGTAAAGTGTTTGTAAGACACTGCCTATCTTTCATTAATTAAATCCTGGGAAATGGACAGTCACATATTTTCCTAAACATGCAGGTAAACTAAGAGATAATGAAACCTAGAAAGCAAAATAGCAGATAGTGTCAACTGTTTAACTCCAAGCCCTAGCAAGGATGGTACATCCCATAAATGGGGAATCTTAAAGATTGCAAATAGTCTAGAAAAGCACTGGTCTCCCAGAGGCCATGAGATTTGAAGACCAAGAAAATCCATTATGTTGCCTTCACCCCCTCTCCCAAAACACATTGGTGTATTAGGAGGCTAAGATCCATTTTTAAGAGTGAAAAATGCTTATGAACCTAAGTCCCTCATATGAAGAACCAACTAGATCAATTCTGAATACATCTTCAGAGCCTGTAGCTGCAACCAAGGTGATCTCCATTTTGTGAGCTTACATTCAAGAAGTTGCTACTTAACCATGAACTGATCTCAGGCTTATTATTTAGATTGTGACGGTAATTGTTATACAGTAAGATGGCAGAAAGAATCCCTGGAACAGTATATTATGCTGTACTGACCAAGATCATTGAGTGGCAACTGCTTTCCCAACCAACAAAGGAACTGGCTAAAATGTTCCAGGGCCCCTACAGGTACTGGAAGCTAGAGGACATTCAGGGGAGAAGAGTCTACAGTTGCCACAGGGAACCAAACATCTTAATTCGTGGAGTTTCATAATTAAACCATACTGCAGAAATGAGAACCTAGGGTAAGAGTCCTGAATTGGTGGTTTTTTAAATGAATACAGATTTATAACCACATCTGAGGTTTAGGAAACATTACAGTTTTAATACAAGCCCTGGAATACTTGAAGATAATTAACTTATCCTGAGGTGCCTTTTGCACATTTCATTCAAAAGTTAGGACAGGGGTGGGCAACATTTTTGGTCAATGTGTCGAAAACACCACAAATCTCCACCCAAGCGTCGACTTGGTGACCGCCTGCTGTGAGCAGTTTGGGCTCCATGGCTGATGGCAGCTGCCCAGAGCCTAGGCCCGCTGTGGCATACCAGAAAGCAGCCTCGCATGCCATGCTCTGGTATGGGTGCCAGGGGTTGCCAATACCCAAGTTAGAGCCTGAAGAATTATAAAAATACTTCACATATGCTACGGCTTACAAATAAAAGGGTGTTTGCGCTCAAAAGTTCGCAAAGAACAATTTTTCCAACTATTTAGTCTAGTAAAAGATATCAAATTTACCCAAAGAACCTTGTCTGCCTAAGTAAAACACTTACAATTTATCCATCTCTAACACCACATTATTCTGTATAATAAAATTGCACCGTATCTAACTCGCTGTAAAACAGGTAATGAGTAAGTTACTAATTTCAAGAACTTCTTTATGGATTTAAGTATTGCCTCTTGTACATTCATATATTCCTCTTTATTTTCATTCTTTGGACTTACTGATCTAATTATGCTAATGTTGTGATGACAACCTATTTGTTGTTCAGCAAATTCCTATTTCAATATTATGCGTACAGAGAATTTTTTTTCAGACAGGACATTTTCAAGAAAGTCTGTTTTGAAGCCAGTTTAAAAATATATTTAAGCCACAGATAGACAGTGAAACTATTCAGCCTGTGAGATTGAACAAAAATGTAAGCTGCATTATGTCAGTAAGTAGAAAATACTTCTTTTTCTTGGCTTGTGTGCACATGCACGCACGCGCACACAGAAAAAAAAATAAAAATCAATGGAATAGTGTCATCAATTTAAAAAAAATATGTTTCAAGAAGTATATGTATGAAGTCTTTTTACAGAGGATATTGGCTACATGCAGAGCTTCTCTCAAAGGCTTACTGAAATATCAAACGAAAGGAAGCAGATTTGAAATGGACGGCTATCAACTCCAATAGCTGTATCTTCTCCAAGAATTAAGTCACAAATTTCCAGAAAAGCACTGAATGGACAATAAAATTAACACCTATACAAGGAACACCTGGAAAAGCACTGTTTATTGAGAATGTGAGTGAAAACAAAAGAAACCACCTCTGATGAAATTCTTGGTCAGGGACATCAAGCACCAACGCAAGAGAACATTTATTGCAAAACAAATTCAGAAGATACTATGGCAAGACGTAAAATCAAATTCTAGCAGGGCAAAACATTACTTAAACAAAAACAAATATACTTCTTTGGATTCTCTGAGTTCACTGCCCAGTGCATTCAAAGTATGCATTAATACCATACTTGGGAGGATGGAAGGGAAATATTTCAACAGCTTAGAACAAAAACAGCTTTTTGTGGGTTAAAAATGAAGTTAAACATACCTTTTTCAGAACTGCATGATCCACTAAACACATCAGTTTGGAACAAATGTCAGGTGCCTAATGCAAGAGAGAGCTTGGAAAGTTACATTTAAAAAGAAGCGTGACCTCATTAAATGAGATCACAAGCAGCCATTTGAGAATCTTTCCAATGTAAAATGATCCATTACTGAGAAACTATGAGTTTAAGCCTCAAGTTTGTGAAAGGCACTTGCATTATAGGCCTAGATTTTCACCAGTTTATGGTCACTGAACAATTCTGTTCTAGGACATTTAATTAAAAACATTTACTGTATGTCGTCACTTCAAAAATATGAGAAAATAATTAGGTGTGAAAGAGCATAATGCCTTCATGCAAGAGACAATTCTTTAGTCTTCAGAGCGAACGAAAATGGAAAGGTGCCAATGAAATACCTTACTGAAAATGGTGCTGTTTTCCACTACGTAATATGAACATGTCAGAAGTAAGGCAAAAACCTCTCAGATTAGATAGTCTCCCTAGCTTTAAACATATTTCTCCCCGCCCCGACCCCACCATATCATATTGTTCTTTGTTCTACATTTGTATAACACCTAAAACCTAATGGATCAGAATTACAAATTTTTTGTTGCTCCTATTCACCAAAAATTAATTCTCCCTGCTCATGTAAAAAGTCTTGCACTAACTATAATTTTATGTTATTTACTCAAGTCAAATTTCCATTCTTGTCTAAACAATAGGTGGTACTATTCTTTTCTGTAGAGTTGGCCAATGCTCACAACAGAAATTTTCTCAACGATGAAACCCACTTAGTTGAGAAACCGAGCTAAAGTGAGAATCGTTAAGACAGCAGAAATCAATTTGTATCAATCTGTGTAGGTCTCACAAATAAACTAACACTGATCTAAAAGAAGAGTCTTGGTAGTTCACTAAAGCATACAGAGTTTCTACCTCAATCTTATTTATTCCTGATCGAAAACTAAAAAAATGAAGATGATGATGGCAATTTAAGGTTTAACAAACTCAACCACCCATTACACTATCAAGTTAAGTTATGCTTTCCATGAAGGATCCAAATAACATTTGCATGTTTATCTCTCTACCCATAAAAAATGAATTCAGGTGAAAATGGCTATAGGATTACCAGGACTTGAATGTAACCCATCAGAGAGAGATGGACAGTTAGTGGCTTGTGAGTATTTTAACAGAGTACATTTGACAGGAAGAGTATCAAAGCGGTCATTCCAGAAAGTATAAAATAGTCATTATAACATCAGGCACAGATACTGAAGAGACAAGAAAACACAAAGGATTGTGAGCCTTCTAGGTAAGGGTTACCATAAGTCCTCCTGCACAAAAAATTCTAATACATTCCACTTGATACATCTGTGGATTTCTAAAGCATTTTTTAAAGGCAACCAAGATGAAACCTATAAAACCAATATAAATATAAGCTTAAAATATTAAAAATTTTAGAAATACTTCATCCAAAGGACACCACACATTGGTTACTACTAGTAAAGTGAGCTAATCAGAAAAAACTCACCAGTAGACTAGCTCCAGACTGGAATAAGTTGTAGGGATAAAGAATACGCTCATAATGTGCACGGATGTGTGAACCCACAGCCTTGCCAGGAGCAAAACCCATTCTTGTGGCTATTTTGGTCCATTTCCTCTCCTTACAGACTTTATCAAATCCCCCTTCTTCTGCCACTAGCTATAAAAATGGGAAAACATAACGGTCACACTCTCAAGAATAATATTATTCTTATTATAAACATTTGAAGGGATATTACCTGGGGGAAAAAAGAGAAGGCAAGCATCTCTGTTAACAGCTGCTACGGTAACCAACAAATACTTTATATACAGCTTTCATATTAAGAGAAAGCTAGAGCTTTGATACTTTTTTTAGTTTGTCATTAAATTTAAAGTTTGGTAAATATTCCAAAATGCGTCTAACAGGAAAATTAGGGGAAGCAAGGCTTATAGTTCTGCCTGAAGAACTTTTAAAGCTATGCTCCTAAAACACTAAATACTTACTCAGTCAGCACTCCAACACTATTTTCTAGTGTAATGTCAACTATATACTTGTCCAGAGTCCATTTTATAGAGTATGAACCTGTCGTTCTCACTTTCTATGCAAGTAGCTTATCACAGAAAGCCAGTGTAGATTCAGTCTAGAAGCAGAAGGGTCATGACATCTTTTGGAGTAAAAGATAAAAAGTTTAAAAAAAAAAAGTCTTACCCTATTAAGTTGAAATAAATCCAAGATCTTCCTCTCTACATGTGGTATTTTCAGTGTACATCCTTGGAGCTCCCAAAACTTTGCAATCTGGTCCAGAAAATTCAGTTTTACACGAGTCTGAGCCTAATAGAAGACAATCTGCATTCAATAGGCAGCACAATTTAGCTCCCATTTTTCAACATTCATAGTGTCCAGGCTTTTCAAGTTCTGCTACAATAGCCTCAACCACCTGCTCTTACATTTCTTCCCCAAGCAGACTTCTACACTGCCTTTCGTGCTACCCCTTTCTCGCAGACAAGAAGCCATAAAAGCCACCCCCCTACCTTACTTCAAGACCTCCTCAAAGGTCACTTGCCACAACGCATTCAGAAAACTAGTATCTGAGAACAGCCAGGCAGGAGACAAATTATTATTTTAGCCTATGACTGGCTAAACAAGTGTACAAATAACTAGCTTGTGGTAAAAAGTTAACCTTTATTGCCAGCATTTTTTCCCCATGGCCACCCAAGTGGTAGCCTCATACTCATGAACGTAAGATGTTGATGGCAGAGACAGCTGTTTGCTATGTTTGTACAGTGTCTAACACTGTAAAACAGAGCCTTGACCTAACTGGGGCCTGTTAAAAATAATTTTGAAGAAACAATTCACACCATCCCCTCAGCATATTTTAGCCAATTCTACAGTACAGCCAAGTTTTGCCCCCAAAATAACACTGCTGTTTATGTTCAATAGATCCTTCCTTCTTTCTAAAGACATTTTGAAGAGATTCAGTTTTCACGTTTTATGCTGCATCTGGTTTTCAGATGTACTGAACCCCTGAGAAGTGTCGGCTGAAATCAATGGGAGCTGCAGGTGCTCACCTTGGTGAAAAATCAGGTCCATTATTTTTCAAAATACCACTTGTTTTACTGAATGCAGTTTGGAGCAAAGGTGACCTTCAGCTTCATTGTATACTCCTAAATAATTCTCATTTTGACAAAATAATTGTTTTAAATTATTTGTGTGTGTAAGCAGGCCAATACTAATATCAATGGAATCAGTTTATTATACTACCTCCAATTCGTTCAGCCTCTGTATCCGTGGAGTAAAGTGAAGTTTATCAACGTCACATGCAAACGGTGGTTGCCAATCCTAAACAGAAGAGAAAAATTAAATGTTTTTTTGTGTGTGCTTATCAGCAAAACTTGGGTGGCCCTCATGCATACACTATGATCCAGGAGGATCAACGATAGCCATCGGCAAAACTCACTCCCCCCTCCATTTTCAAATCTGAGTATATTTTCCCCCTCCCTCCCAAGTGGTTTCATAGAAAAAAAATACCCAAGGAAATTAAGATAAAGCAAAACATTTTACTGTTATCTGCAAGGAAATTAAATATAATTTTTTTAGTGCAGGTATGATTCTTGCTTTTATTAAGAATTATATTCCACTGTCTTTAATATCCTTTTATCAAAATAATATCGGTCTTTCACTGATAACTAAAGAGTTACACAGACTGGGCACATCTACACGAGATCTTTACTGTTGCCTAAATTAGCTCCGCAGTAAACCATCACTGTCTATACGTGCGGTGCTATTAAGACAGAGTAAACTAATTAACTCCACTGTAGGATAGTACTGCCAAACACAAGTGCTACCCTATGGGGGGAGTTATTTACACCACTGTAATGCATATGCTGATGGGGCTGGCTGGGGTGTGAGGTTGCTACAAGTGCAGGGGCTCCCAGCTGGCCAACCCCGCAATGAAGCATCCTCATGCCCCAGGTAGGCCCTCTGCAGCATGCTGCACCAGGTCAGAGCAACCCCAAGCTGGCAGGCTGGCCCCCAGGGACCCTGCCAACGGCGGCTGCTCCACCCCGGCTCAACATGCTGTGGTCCAAACGGCACGCCCAGGAGTCTATTCAACTGCCTTAATAGTACATGCAGACATTCACACGAATTAGCCTTTTAATCCCACATAGGTTCACATATACAAATTGATCTTTCTTGTATGATCTTTGGCAGCAGGTGAGAAGGGTAATGCATGCCTAAGCATTATGAATCTCACTAACTGCAAAGGCCCATTTGAAACCGTCACCTGGAAATTATGTCCGTCAAACTCGCATAGGAGGTTTACTGTAAAGAATTTACTGTGCAATTTCTTTTGTGCAAAACAAGGTCAAAGAAATCTTTAACTTCTAGATAAATGTTATAATTAACAAATATATGCAACATAAAAGGTGAACATTGCTGTCAGGCAAAACAGAATCTAAACTAAACCATTTCATTAATGACAAAGTAAGTTACGAGGCAGACATTGACTTTACTCCTGGGAAGGTAATTATTTGGAACCAGAGACTTTAAATGCTCATGGGACATAAACACAGCAGGTAAATATTTTCATTGCTTCTCATACATGATACTCTTAGCAACAGGAGCTACAATGACAACCAAGAAACAATTACTTCAACCATACCCAACTTGGAAATATTCAGTAATAGCTGACATTTGTTCAACAGAAGTAATAAATAAAAAGCACTAATACTATGATTGATAGTATAGAAAAACAGGACTAGAACAGACTTCATGAGAACATCTAGTCCAATCCCCTACGCAAGCCAGGATCATCCCCATCTCAACTGTCCTGGACAGGTGTTTGCCTAATCTGTTTCAAAATGTTTCCAAGGCCAGAAATTCCAGAAAGCTCTCTAGGCAGCCTGTTCTAATCATCAGAAAGTTCTCTGTAACTTCCTCCCATTTCCTCTGCTGTAGGTTGACACCATTGTTCCTAGTCTTGTCCTCCATGGCCACAGAGAAAAGCCCATCTCCATCCACTTTGTAATCTCCCTTCAGGTATTGAAGATTTATCAAATCCCGCCTTCCATCCTCTTCTCCAAACTACACAACAGTACAGGCAGTCCTTGGACTTGCAACACAATTGCTTCCTAAAAAACATTGCAACTCGGAACCAATTTTCCCATAGGAAACAATGTTATAAATGGGGGATTGGTTCCTGAACTAAGGCCCGATACCCTATTTTCACCAAAAATAACTCAGAATTTTGTACTCAATAATTATAGACGATTAATATAGCTACATTAATGTATTTATATTGTAAGCAGCAATCATATCGATTTGGAAGGACTTCTTTGAGGTGACTTTGCTTTTTGAAGGGCTCTTGGCTGGAGCCTTCTCAGGAGTCTTGGCTGCAGGTTTTTCTGGAGTCTAGTCTGCTTGCTTAATAAAAGCGTGCAAGGAAGTTTGGACAGATGTTCTCCAGGGAGATGGGTTACACAGCGAACCTGTTCGCTGGCGTGGCGTTGGATGAAGTGTTGTAAAGTCAAAACTGACGTCAGAAAGTTGAAACAGCATGAAACGTAACTCAAAACATTGTAAATTGATAATTGCCTGTACTCTCGTCCTCAAACTAAACAGTACTCATTAGTCCAGCTTTTCCTCACAAGTCATGTTTCCCAGACCACTAATCATTTCTGTGACTAACAGAGTCTTTCAAGAAAGGTGTGGACAGATTGGAAATGTGGGGTCCAAAACTGCACACAGGACTCCAGATGAGTTCTTGGCAGTGCTAAATGGAGTGGAAGGTCACTTCCCTTAATTTGCAAGTGAAACTCCTATTAATACAACCCAGTATAATTACTTTATTTTATTTATTGCAACAAGGCCACACTGATAGCTCATAATCAGCTTATGGCCCACTCTAACCCCTAAACTCTCCCTTTGCAGTACCACAGCCTATAAACCAGTGGTTTGCAGAGTGCCACAAGCCCATTCCATGGGAGTCACAGTGCAGATGCCACTGTAGCAAGGTTAAAATGCCCCGTGTGCCTCCTGCAGTGGCAGATCAGGAAGCAGCTGTGGCTGGAGGCCACAATTTTGCCACAGCCCTTCCCAGTCTGACCCCACGGGCCCTTTTCACTTCCCAGCCAGAGGGGTTCAGGCTGGGCTGCAGCAGCCCTTTACACTGCTCAACCAAATGAGTCCTGCTGCGCTGGAGCAGCTGTGTGCACTGCCCAGACAGAGAAGCTGGCTGCAGGGACACCCTGGGCAGGTAAGACCATTCTCCTTTCCACCCCCTGCCCAAACATCCCAGGTGCACAGGGGAGTTTGACCCAGGGCACAAAACTCCTTAGTTATGCCTCTACTTCTGCCTGCTTTAGGTTTATCAGAAAACCTCAATACAGGCAGAAGTGTGCAGCAGCACCTTGGTTAAAAATCAACAAGGCAAGCAGAGGTGGTACAACAGTGGTTCTCAACCAGGGCTGCCACCAAATTCAAAAAGCAAAAAGCTGTGGATGCGGTGCCCTGACTCTAAAAAGGTGTTTGAGAACCACTGGCCTAAACAATCATTCCTCAGTCTATATCTGTACATGTGATTATTCTGTCCCAAGTGCAGGATTTTGCATTTGTCCTTGTAGAATTTCATCTGACTGATTTCAGACCACTTCTCCAGTTTATCCAGGCCATTCTGGATCTTAGTCCTAACCTCCATCGTGTCTGCAACTCCACCCAACTTGGTGTCACTCCCAAAGTTGTGAATAGTGCATGCAATCCCATCCTCCAATTCATGAGTGAAATGGTTAAACAGTACCAGACCTAGGTCAGATTCCAGGGAAGCCCCACTTGATACTTCCTTCCAACTAGACCTTGAACCATTGCTGACTGTGAACATAAATATCCAATCAGTTATGTATCCACCCACCCACTGCTCTACCCCACCCATAGGGCCTGTTACCTTGTCATAGAAGGAAATCAGGTTAGTTAGACGTGACTTGCTCTTGATGAATCCAAATGGGCTGTTCCTGATTACTTTGCTTTCCTGTAGATGCTTGGAAGTAGAGTCCTTGATGATATGCTCTATAATCCTTCTAGGTGTTGAGGTCAGTGTGACCCATTTCTAATTTCCCAGATCCCCCTTCTTAAAGATGTGCACCATATTTGTCCCTTTCCCAGTCATCTGGTACCTCACCAATCTCCATAAATTCTCAAAGAGTATTTGCAGCCAATAGCTCTGAAATTACCTCGGCAAGTTCCTTTGGTATTCTAATATTCATCCCATCGTGCCCTGATGTGAAAACATCCAGCTTTTCTAAGTTACCTCTAACCTTTCTCTAGACTTCTGATCTCCTTGTCTAGCCTTGCTGCCAGCTGTGCTCATCATCTGCCAGCTGACCTTATTTATGTAGCGTAAAAAAAAAAAGGCATGAAATACGTTAGAGGCAATGGATGCTGCACAGAAGGCTGCATTCAATAAGGGACCTGAACTTTCCATGGTCTTCCCTTATTTCTGACATGCTGGCAGAATGCCTTTTGTTGCCGTATGCCCCTTGCTAGCTGCATCTCAATTAGTCTTGGCCTTCCTGATTTTCTCCCTAAATGCCCATGAGATTGTCATCTCACTAAGGAAGAGTGTGACTATATTCCAATTCCTTTTTGGTGTTTCAACTCCTTGAAGGGTTTACTGTTTAGTCAAGCTAATCTCTTGCTGCACTTTCTAGCCTTTCTTTGTATCAGCATAGCCTGCTCTTCTGCCATTATTATAGTACAACCAACTATCCTGGATTCCTTTCCCCACCCAAACCTACCTTGCATGATGCTCTGTCCATCTGATCCCTGGGACCCAACATGAACCAGCCCCAGAGCCAGCGCACAGGATCAGTCTGGTGGAGCACCCCATGCAGCACCTGCACTGTGCTAGCCCCATGAACCATGTGCAGAGTGAGCCTCAGAGTGGCGCCCAGTGTACTACATGGTGTACAGAGCTGGACCAGCCATGAATGCTACATGCGGCACACGGGGCGAGGGTGGGATACATTCTGCATGTGGTGCCCTGCCAAACTGGCCCTGTCTTGGCTCTGTGAGGCCCAAGGCAGACCGCAGACCAGATCAGCAACTTCCATCTGGCCTGTGGGGCTGGATGAGTTTGACACCCCTGTCCTACAGCAAGGGGCAGCAACCTACAGCCTACAGACTTAATCTGGTGGGAAGGACTGATTTTGTGTGTGTTTTACTAACCAAGTGACAATTCTCAACTGTCCAATTTGGTACACCTTCTGCATTTTCCGAAAAGCAGGTTGATCCTCTGCTCCATCCCTGCTCTGTGCAGAGGGTTACTCCCCCCCCTTCACGGCAGT